CATAGCGACCCCATGCACAGCAGAACGAAACACTGCCCGATCCCGCGCCAGCCCCACAATCCCTGCTATACTTGATCCCATCATCGCAGCCACCATATCAATCGATCTTGTTGAAGGCCTCCCCCTCTTTTGTCGACCCTCCACCCTACCAAGCATGACATCCTTCTCCAGGGAATGGTCCCTTCTTACAACACTAGGCAGCACTAGGCTCACTTAACTTTGCAGGATATAGAGCAAGAAAGACAGCCTGGCAAAATGAGGCTTGTTTTCAGGAGATGGAGTCTTGACTCTGGCCTCCCAAGAGTCAGCTCCAATCCCGTTGTGAATGGTGTCACCAGGTCAGGGACTGACTTGATGGCAACTAACACAAGTTTATGGTAATTTGTGATGCCTGTAATTGAAAATACACCTACCTTAGTAAAACCTCCAAATTTAAATAAACTCATCAGAGAAGAGTCTCTATGATCATTTAGACCAGTTTTTTTTTTTTTTTAAATTCAATTCATACTTGGTCTTGTAATGGCTCTGCTATAAAAAGTTATGCTATAATTGAATATGTGTATAGCCAACAACAACAAAAAAAAAAAAAAAATAGAGGAACAACTCGAAACTAGAGAGTCAATTATTTGATACAAAAACTAAAAAAATTCATGATTAGGTATTATGAGAAACCTTTCATTTAGGAGTGGCTTCTAAGGCAGCATCTTGAGTTTCCATAAAAACAAAACCTTCTGTATCAAAAGAAGGGATCTCAATTAGAGGACCAGAATCCTCTATGTCCAAGTGTAATGGTTTCCCCTGTTCATATCTCAGGTCTGAATTATCTTTCATTTGAATCTCTTGCCCCCTCAACTCCAAAGATTTATCTGGAGCCGGAGCTACAACTTCCTCATCTTCATTTTCATGGAGAAAGCTACAGATCATGTTGGGTCTATTGGAGGAATCATTATCCTTGATTTGCATCCATTCCACACCACCTATGTTTTCTTCTCCTTTGTTCTTTTCTGTCAGAAGTGTCCTTGTCATGCTGAGCTTCTTCATTGTGTGGCATCTGTATTTCAGCACTGTTTTATTATTGCCTTCTCCATCATGTTCTTCCACATCTTCTTCAAATATAACACAGGTCCCAAGAGCGTCTTCATATTCTCCAGCAAAGACATAGTTGTCCACCTGCATAACAGGTCTCTCAGTATCAATTCCCAAAACTTTGCATTTATTTTCACATTTTGAAAGAAAGTCTGAATCAATAATTCCTGACAATTCCACCAGAACCAACTGCTCTTCCTCCTCTTCCCACTCCTCAAGTCTCGGTTCCTCGGTCACCGCCATGATCCCACTGCCTTGGGGGCACACAGTCCCTAGTCATGCCCTCCCAACGCCGCCATCTTGAGTACCAGTATTATTATATTTTTTTAAAAAAACTTCTGCTCTTCAACACTGTTAAGAAAATACAAAGACAGCTCATGGACAGGGAGGAAAAAAAAGCAGGAAAGAAGTTTTCTTTCTCCCCTGGTCTCTTTCAACTGGCCATGATGTTTTGTTATTTAATGTCATAAGGAGCACTGGTGGTGCAGTATTTAAAGCCCTGGGCTGCAAATCTAAAGGTTGGGGGTTTGAACCCAATAGTTGCTCCATGGGAGAAAGATGTGACAGTCTGCTTCCATAAAGACTGACAGTTTTGGAAATCCACAGGGCATCCTGCCTTACAGGATGGCTATGAGTTAGCATTGATTCCATGGCAGTGGGTTTTTTTGTTTGTTTGTTTGTTTGTTTAATGTCATGTTCCCTCAAGCACAGGGATACTCACCAGGAAAGCGCAGACCCCCACAGGCTGTCAGAGCTTCTTCCTATGCATGTCTTGGCACAGGAGACAGGTCCCTCAACCATGCCCAGACTCCCACTGAGGGTGGAGGGTAGCAGCAGTCAATTCCAAAGCACAAGGGAGCATGTGGCTAAGAACTGATCTATCCCAGGAGGTAGCTGAGGCTCTGTGACCTCTGTACATGCTTCACTGTCCCATTAGACTTCACTTTAAAATCATAAATCAAAGTAAAATTATTAAGAATTAAAAATGGTGACTATAGATCATTAATGGTGATTATAGATCATGTGACTGTATCAGTCCTATGCCTATAAAATCAGCCATGTGTAACCTCCTTATGACAGTTAGTAATTAGGATGCACTCAGTACATATGAATTCAGTTTCTCCCACGACCAAACGATTTTGTGATGATTACAAGAGATAATATAAATGAAATGTGCTATGCAAACTGGAAAGTGTTCAACAATATAAACCATTGTTATTTTTTAAAATTAACTGAAATAGACAACATGCTGTTTTCTACTTAGCAAGGCAGTAACAGAGAAAGTTAGCAGTAAGAGAAAGTTGCTTTTTTATTTAACAGATAACAATTGTTATACCACCCCTTGTCTGTGGTGGCTTGCATGGTGCTGTGACTCTGGAAGCTATGCCACCAATATTCCAAATACCAGCAAGTTCACCCATGGTGGACTGGTTTCATTGGAGCTTCCAGACTAAGACAGACTGGGAAGAAGGAACAGGCAATCCACTTCTAAAAAACTGGCCAGTGAAAACTTAATGAATAGCAGCAGAACGTTGTCTGACATAGTGCCAGAAGATGAGCTCCTCAGGTTGGAAGGCACTAAAAAGAGGGTTGGGGAAGAGCTTCCTCCTCAAAGTACCATCAACCTTAATGACATGGATGGAGAAAAGCTTTCAGGACCTTCACTGGTTTATGTGCCATGACTCAAAATAAGAACAAACAGCTGCAAAAAATCCATGAATAATCAGAACACAGAATGTACAAAGTATGAATTTAGGGTACTTGAAACTGTCAAAAATGGAATGGAACTTATAAAGATCGATATCCTAGGAATTAGTGAGCAGAAATGGACTGATATTGGCCATTTTGAATTATGCTCTATTATGCTTGGAATGGGAGCTCTGGTAGCATAGTGGCTAAGGCACTTGACTGCTAACCAGAAGGCAGGCGGTTCAAACCCACCAGCCACTCCTTGGAAGGAAGGTTGGGCAATCCTACTTCCGTAGTGATACTGCCTCGGAAACCCAAGGAGGGGTTGCTATGAGTTGGGGCTGACTCGACGGCAAACAACAACAACAACAACAACAACATGCTTGGAATGACAAATTGAGGAGGAATGGTCACTGGATCAGGATTCAGGGGAGGGAAATGGATGCACCCAAACTAGAACTTCATTTTTTTTTTTATCTTCATGTCATCTTCTATATTGAACTGCATAAAAGACCTGACCTGTCAACCAGCTAAGTGAAAGGGGGGAAAAACAAAAAGACTTCTTCTGGAGTTCATACTCTCTCTTTCTCTCTGTCTGTGTGTCTTTGATGCTCTCTCTCTCTGATCTATTGCTCTGGGGAAAGCAAGCTGTCATGTTGTAAGCAACACTACAAAAAGGCCCAAATGGTGGAGAACGGAGCCCCCAGCCAACAGTTAGTGAGCAACTGAGATTGGTCAACTACCACATGTGTGATCTTGAAAGTGCATTCTCCAACCCCAATTGAGCATTAAGATGACTGCAGCTCCAACCAACAGCTTGACTACAAACCTTGTCAGAGATCCTAAGCTAGAACCACCCAACTAAGCTGCTCCCAGATTCCCTCCTTTTGTAATTCATTCATGGAGTTTCACAAGTGTAGTAGCATATGTAGTGCGATTTTGTCTTCTATTTGTTTTGACTTCTTTTTGCATGGTAATTACTTTCTGTTGACCATTAAATTAGAACTTATGAGAGTTTACCTGATACATATTCATTTTCTTCCTTTGAAGGTAAAACACATTGTATATATGAATTATTGTGAAATTTCTGCCATTGCTTTCTTTCACAGACATAATGGGGCATCTTTTCTTAATAATGAGAGAGAGAGAGAGAGATTATTATTATGATAAGGAGCTCTGATTGTGTAGTGGGTAAGGCATTTGGCTGCTAACCAGAAGGTCAGTAGTTCAAACCCACCAGCTTCACCACAGGAAGAAGATGGGGCAATATACTTCCGTAAAGATTTGCAGCTTTAGAAACCCAGTGGGTGTTGCTCTGAGTCATAATCAACTCGATGACAGCGAATTTTTCTTAATGATACCTTTCTGAGTGGTTGGTATTGGTAGCCAGTCACCATCTAATTCTTCAGGTCTCAGAGTTGTGTATGCGGAGGTTCCTATGGTCCATTAGTCCATTGGACTATTTCCATGCATTTTTTCTTTTTTTCACTCTTTGCTCTTGATGAGGCAAGACCAATAGTTGCATCTTAGATGGCTGCTCACAAGCTGTTAAGATCCTATTCACTACTCACCAAAGCAGGATGTAGGACATTTTCTTTGTGGACTATGTTGTGCCACTTGATCTTGATGTCCCCTGTGACTATGGTCCCAAGCCTGCAGGCTCAGTAACTGACTCCCCCAAGGTGCTTGGTTGTGTCTAAGAAGTTATCCTGACTTTGTTCCCTGTTAGCTTTATAATATGTGTGGACATTTGTATAGCACATACAAATACATGTATAGGAATACTGTCTGCCAGATCTCTATACAGTCATGGGTATATTCCCATTCACCTACCCACCCTTCACCCAAATCAACATCTTTCTCTTAACTAGCTAGCAATTGTCCCTCCTCTCCCCACTCATCCCTGGTTAACAAACAAAGAAAATTTCCTTCCCTATATAAACCTTTCCTTGACTTTTTATAGTAATGGACTCATAAAATAATTGTCCCACCTGTCAGTTTTTTGTACTGTGGTGGCTTGCATGTTTCTATGAGGCTGGAGGCTATGCCATTGATATTTCAAATACCTGCAGGGTCACCCAGGTGGAGCTTCCAGAGTAAGACTGACTGGGCAGAAGGGAGAAGCCATCCACTTCTCAAAGAAATGGCCAGTGAAAACCTTATGAATAGCAGTGAAACACCATCTGATATATTACTGGAAAACTTTATGAGTAACCTTCAAACACTGTCTGATATAGTGCCAGAAGATAAGCCCCACAGGTCAGAAGGCACTCAAAATACAACTGGGGAAGAGCTGCCTCTTAAAAGTAGAGTTGACCTTAATGATGTGGATGGAATAAAGCTTTTGGAACCTCCATTTGCTGATGTGGCATCACTCAAAATGGGAAGAAACAGCTGCAAAACATCCATTAATAATTGGAACACGGAACATATGAAGTATAAATCTAGGAAAATTGGAAGCTGTCAAAAACGAAATGCAATGCATAAGGATCGATATCCTAGGCATTAGTGAGCTGCAATGGACCAATTTTGGGCATTTTGAATCAGACAATCATACAATCTACTATGCCAGGAATGACAAATTGAAGAGGAATGGTGTAGTGTTTCTCATCACAAAGAATCTTTCAATACCTATCCTGAAGTACAATGCTATCAGTGATAGGATAATATCCATATGCCTACAAGGAAGAGCAGTTAATACTGCTATTCAAATTTATGCACCAACCGCCAAAGCCAAAGATGAGGAAATTGAAGATTTTTTTTTTAACCAACTTCTGCAGTCTGAAATTGACCAAATATACAATCAAGATGTGTTGATTATTAATGGTGATTGGAATGCAAAAGTTGAAAACAGAAGAATCATAGGTAGTTGGAAAACATGACTTTGGTGATAGACATGACACTGGAGATCACATGACAGAATTTTGTAAGACCAATGACTTATTCATTGCAAATACCTTTTTTCAACAACATAAACGGTGGTTATACACACAGACCTCACCAGATGGAATTCACAGGAATCAGATTGAGTACATCTGTACAAAGAGGCAATCGAGAAGTTCAATATCTTTGGCCAAAACAAGGCCAGGAGCTGATTGCGGAACAGACCATCAACTGCTCATATGCAAGTTCAAGTTGAAGTTGAAGACAATTAAAACAAGTCCATGAGAGCCAAAATATGACCTTGATTATATCCCACCTGAATTTAGCAACCTTATGAAGAATGGATTTGACATATTGAACACCAGTGACCAAAAACCAGATGAACTGTGGCATGACATAAAGAACATCATCCACAAAGAAAGCAAAAAGTCATTAAAAAGACAGGAAAGGAAGAAAAGACCAAAATGGATGTCAGAAGAGACTCTGAAACTTGCTCTTGAATGGACAGTAGCTAAAGCAAATGGAAGAAATGACAAACTAAATGAGCTGAACAGAAGATTTCAAAGAGCAGCTTGAGAAGACAAAATCAATTATTATAAAGAAATGTGCAAAAGCCTGGAGCTAGGAAACCAAAAGGGAAGAACACAATTGGCATTTCTCAAGCTGAAAGA